TTTACACCCTACTCCCTTCCTAAATACTCTTCATTGACACAAGCTTCTGTGCTAATCTGGAAAATAGCAAGAAATTCATCTTCGCAATGTAATAAAGCTTAAGAGTTCTGCTCTTTTTGAAAAAGTGAGTGGCTCATAATTTTACTTTATAGTTCAAAACAATAACAATGTCACGATCACTCTTTTGAGATTCCCCACAATCTTTTCAATTATTCCCACCACGCTGGTGTTGCTACAGGACAATCAGAGAAGTGTGGATACAGACTGCAGAGACGATGATAAAGGGGTAGTGAGATGGAAAACTTGCTCTTTCTTAGAAGTCCACGTCTATCTAGTAGTAAGTCTTCTTTCTGATTGGTGGTGGTACGGAGGAAGGGCATAGGAAGAACTAAGGTAATAACGGTGGAAGTTCAGTCAAGTAACTGGTTTGAAGGTATATAGATGAGACTGTAATTAGCAGACACACTGAGTCCAAGGCAAACAATTGGTTATTTGATTGTCCTTCTTAGGTAGATGGCACCATAAAAGAAACTGAAGGTTGGCTTTGATTTAATAAAATAAACCAAAGGTCTGCTACAAGGAAACATCTATTAGATGAGAATTACTATAATCCCTCTTCAGGGGAAACGCTCATCTCGTCCCTCTCCCTTCCTCTTTCATGGTAAGCAAGCCAATACATTCTGGAAGGCTATTGTAAGGGGCAACTCAATATCAGAGTTTTGCCTATTTATACAAGGAAGGCATTATGAGCCATTCCAATCAGCAGGCTCCTCTCCATTCTCAGGCAAACTTACCGCGCTTCAATTAAGCTCTCCCAAATCTAATAAGATGCTTTTACTTTTTCATATTTGGTGGGTGGAACGTGGTTTAATGCTAGCTAAATTATTAGTTTTGTAGCACTGACCACCACAAATTTTTTATGCTCTAATATAATCAACTCTATCCCACATTACCACTGTGCTCCGACATTGTATAGACTGAAATCCAATGCAGAAAGTTAGCTTTTAAGATTTACTATCAAGACTGATACCTCATATGCAGAAATGTTCAAGTAATTTATAAAATCTCATCTTAGTTCCCTTTGCTTCAGTTAATCATCACAAGCCAAAAATAAAGTCTAGATGCATCATAAACAGAAAATGAACTAAACTGATAAATCTGATTTACTCTTTACCTGACTTTTTCTGAAGTTCTACCAGAACATTTATTGTCTTAACCTAGTGCCTATAGATCTTATATGTAATGATACTGGCTTTTTAACTACATTTGGGAAGAGCATGGTGATTTTGTAGTTGAGAAAGCCATACATTCAATGCGATTATTTTTTAAATCTGAGAAGCTATCTTAATTTAGATAATTTAAATGTTATATAGTAAGAAGTACTAATTTTTTAAGAAAGACAAATTTTATGTACTATTAAAGAAAACAATAATTTGAAATGTTTACCAAATAAAGTGCAATAACTTTAGAGAATTCTAAGTTTTGGAATAAGATAATGCCATGGATAGGGTTATTTTCTAAATTATTTTCCTTAGACTAAGAAATTTTTTCTAGTAATTTCTTAGAAAATTACATTTGGCATAAAGAACTATTTCCTGAATAATGCAAAGTAATGGAGAAAGATGACGGAAACAACGGCAGGTCTCTACCAGCAACATAACCACTGAAGGGAGACAGCAAGGCATCACCTCTATGCCATGGAGCTCGCAGGCCTTCCTAACTGCCCTGCATCTGCTTCCAAGGTCCAGCATCCTCTTGCTCTTCTCCGCTATCGCCACAATTATATGATTTCTCTTCAACTAATGCCTGTAATGCTCAGTAACAGACTACTTTCTTCGATTCGTAATTTGCATTAGTTTACCTGATAAGAAAGGGTGAACTGCTTTCTCTAGTTATCATCAATGTACTTCGGTCAAATCATGGTGGATTTTACTTCCAGTAAAATCTCAGTTAGTTTCTTAGAACTCTCATGTTGAGAATATTGGGAGGCCATGGATCCTAGGGGCTGAGTCCCATTTTCCTTCTTACTGCTGAGGTGACTGGCATTCTCCTCTCACATCATTGCTTCTGAATCTGAAGTTAAGCACTTTCTCAAGGAGAAAAAGGGTAGATGCTGGAAAAGAAAGTTGCACATGGACTTTCAACTTCTTTCCAATTTTAAAAATAACCTAATAGCCTAATTAATCTTTATTTTATTGTCTCTCTATATGATATGAAATCATCAATTATTCTATTTTAATGGTATAGGCAGCCTTAAATACAGGTGCACATTTGTGCACAGAAAATAAACCATTTTGTTTGTCTTCTAGTTTCTCTACACACATCAATGTTTTCTATACTACCTACCATAAAATGAAAAATGAACTTTATTCTTTTGCTTATCCTTCCTTTACATTCCTTTGGGGAGAGGTTTAACTATCATAAATTGTGTAATTCTCAAATAAAATGCAATTAGAATTTCTAAACCTAAAATCAGATGAAATTTTACCTTTGGTTAGACTGCTGTTCCTTTCAAATGACTGTGATATTCATTTCCTAAGAGTCCTATTGAGCGTTTCAGTGCACAGGAATCTCCAGTAAAATTTTAGGTAGGACAGAGAATTCACAACTGCTAGGACATATAAAATTTAGGAGAGAAAAATGCACACTGCTTTTGTTTGGAGGAAAAAATTTAAATGTATATTCTGTCTCCCAAACTGTTTCCTCTTCATGAGGAAAAGCTCTCTTTTCTCTTTACAGCTTTAGGAGGAATATCAAGCTGTGTGTGTGTTTAAATACATACTTAAGCATCTGTCATGGTAAGCTGAAAGTTACATAAATCTTATCATTTTTGAATAGACTATGCTAATAGGACAAATACACCAGAAAATAAGTACATTGTAACATTATATTATCTATGAGTAAATAATACTGATTAGGGCCCAGAATCATTAACAGTTGAAGAAAGACCAAATTGGCCATAAGACACACTGAGTTCATATGCCAGAAGTCAACTATAAGATTTTATGTGTCACTATATAGGCTTACTAATAAAGAATGAAGTTGATAATTCAAATTGTTCTGGATACACATTAGTACCATCAATTTTATTTGTACAAGAAATGACTGGTCCACCCGACTTATCTATATAACTCAGTAATAATTAACTGCTATTTCTTGACAGACCAGTGACATTTCCCCCATAGTTTTAAAGTACAAAAACAATTGTTAAGGAAAAAAATCTCAAGTATAAATAATGCAAACCTTTAATCTATCAAGGGGCAATAACACGTTATCACTGATTATTATAAATGATTTGATTTATTTAAATTGGAAAAAAAAACCCTCAGTAATTAAATTTTTCCTCTTCAGTTTTGGGACAAGGGACATGCTTGGCAAAACACACACACAAAAAGCAAAGCACTAAAAGCCAGAAAGTTGTATGATTTTTCAGAAAAAAAAAAAATTCAGAAATGGAACATTTTGGAAGCTTTTCAGAATAAAGACGGAAGAAATTCCTTCAATAGGAACTATTTGTCAGTTAATTGACAGAATTTTGGTAGTAAAGAGTAATTTTAATATAACCTACTGAAATTATGACAGGGAAGAGTAAAAACTTGTGATGCACGGGAGAAGAGCTAAACGTGAAAGGGGCGTATTAAGGGGCAGTAACCATATGTTTTTAAGACTAAGTAAGTGGTAACAGCTGCCCTTCCACTCTTTTGTTCTTTTGTCTAAAATTAAACTGAGTCCTGGCTGGTGTGGCTCAATGGATTGAGTGCCAGCCTGGGAACCAGAGGGTCGCTGGTTCGATTCCCAGTTAGGGCACATGCCTGGGTTTCAGGTCAGGTCCCCAGTGGGGAGCATTCAAGAGGCAACCATGCACTGATCTTTCTCTTCCTCTATTTCTCCCTCCTTTCCCCTCTAAGAATAACTAAATTTAAAAAATTTTTAAAATTAAGCTGAAAACAACAGAAGTAATTTCACAAATTCACTGATGTTGACTTTGGAATCTTTATCTAGATCTAGGGGGGAAGGGAAGATTAAAACATATTTTACTTTTCTTGGTATTTATATTAATTTTGTTAGATAATGAAATGCTAAATTTAATGCCAACCACATTCAAGAAAGTAAAATCCTGTATGGCTTTTGGGCTTATTTGAGTTAGGGTTAGGAACACAGGAAAGAAATTAGACAAAGATGTGAAAATGGGCATTGTGTATAGACCATGATAGTCTGAAATATCTAAGAAATATACCTTTTTGTGTATGACCAAGCTTAGACCCCGAACATTTTAAAGGAAGGTTTTCTATCATAGGAGGGCATGAAATCTAATTTTTATCCTTTAAAACTGCAGGGAGAAATGGCTGCCAACGTCTGTTTTATCAGTGTAATGTGAAAGAGGAAAGCTAATTTGTTCTATGCTCTTAAAAACATGGTTTCCCCAAGACAGACTTAATTTGATCAAATTCTGGCTAAGGGAAGTAAACCCAGAAGAAAAGCTATCCGATGAGGGTGTAGAGTCTCTGAAATAGCTTTGTCTTCTAATTCAGAATTAGTAAAGGTTATATTTCAATTGCTCTACATGCTGAAGCTTAACTAGGCATAACTTCAGTTGTTATGGTTGGAATATGGGCAAATGTATTCCACATCTGCCCCTTAAAGAAAAAAAAGGTATTAGACCTCTTAAATAAATGTCATCCGGCTGTGTGAAAGTGTGGTGCTTTGCTATTAGACACATGCTCAGAACTCTAAAGCAGCAGCAACTTAAAAAATCAGTAATAAAACTTTGGCTTAAAATTAAAAAGAAAGAAAATAAAAGGTCAAATGGGTGCAAGTTGTCTCATGAAAGAGGTATTGTAGACTAAACTCTCATAAATGCTGTCCAACATTAGTTTCCCCATCTTCTTTCACTGTTATCACCTTCATTGCACAGGAGTTATATCATTCTTTTATGGTTAAGTTTCATAAATAATGAGAAAACTATATGTAACAAATACATCGTATTTCCCACCCACCCAGCAACCCTCCCCCAAATAAGAAAAGTTACATCAAATTAAAAAGTAGCTTCATGAATGAAGGTACTGCTCTAAGTTGCACTTTCCCTGCAAGTGCAGCCAGTGCTTTTGCGCTGGGTATGAAGGAAAGGAAAAAATTATCCACATAAACTGACAAAAAATTTAAAAACCATGTCCGGTTTCAACCAGTCAAAACCGGGCCAAGCAGAAGCCAAGGTATCTCAGTACCGTCCCATCAGAGGGTCCTTGCAATGCCTGTTCTTCATCCTGATAGGTATCTGTGTCCTTGTGATTGTAAACAATCCATAAGATACTGTTTTTGTTCCTTAAAATGTCCTCTGATTGGCAAAATGAAGTATTTGTTTTAAAAATAGAAAATGAAAATTAAACCAAAAGAAAAGAAACACAGTGAGCTTGTTTGGAGTCCATAGGATCCGATCTGGAAGAGCTCGGAAAATGTGTCATGTGTCTTCTCCTGTTTTCGGCTGGAAAGGTACTAGAGGTTGCGTTGGTCGAGGAAAGAATTGTAGAGTAGGAAAACCAAGGGTGTTAATCTAGACTTCAGAGAATTCAAGTGTTAGCTTCATCATCTGTGTCTTCTATCAATACCTTAGTGTCACGAGCCTTGGATCTAGTGATAATAAGGGGAAAAAGAGCAAAAAAGAGCACTTAGTCCATTATTCAAATACAAACACATCCACAGTTCCAGGTCCATTTCCAATCTTACCAGACAGGCACAAGATGGACTATTCCTGGAGTTTCATATTCACTTTAAGGTGTTACTGGAAAAACACTAAGAAACTAGATTGCATCCAGAGGAAGGTAATAAGAACAATGGCAAGTCATATGCAACAGAGAGAGTAGTGTTTGGAACAAGAAGATCTGAGTCTGAGTTTAAGTACTGACTTTGATTTTATGATGTATCTCTTTAAGCTCTTTGAGTGCTAATTTTCATCTCTGTAAAGCAGTAATAACAATACATAATACACACAATACTACTCTCACCTCATGGAGATAGTATGACTATCAAGTAAGAAAATGGATGTAAAAAGCATCACTAAAGCATTCAACAAATATAATGAATTATGATGAGGATGGCAGAAATGTCATTTGAGGTACACATGAAAAGCCAGGAGAGTTAGTTAGCCTGCAAAAGACAAGACCTAAGGAGAGGCATGACAGTTATCTTCAAACAGTTGACAAAGTATGATGTAAGAGAGGGAAGAGACTAAGTTATCTCAGAGAGTCCCACTAGGATCAACTGGTAGAAGTTATAGTGAAACATATCTCAGCCCCACATAAGCCATCTACTACCATGGTAACTATCCAACAATAAAATCGTGTGCCTCATGTAATTATAAACTTAAATTACTACTGATGATTATCAATCATCAGCATAAGATGACCATCTCTTCAGGATGCTATGGAAAAGATTCCTTCACTGAATGAAAAATGGGATTAGATAATATTATTAAATATTCTGCACCCTATGAGCCCCATCCATGTGGTGAAAGTGGTATCTGGTGAGGTAGGTGTTATTCCTGCTTGACAGAGCAGGATGTTGAGGAGCAAAAAGGTTAAGGATGTGTTAAAGTTCACATGCGTCACGAAGTACTCAAATCCAGATCTCATTTTAGATTCCCTGTTCTCTCCTTGCACAGAATCTGCTCCACTCTTCTAAACATCTCCCTATGGTTGCAATTTAGTATTCCAGTGTTTTTCCAAGAACATCTAAAATTGAACGTTATCTACTGCCAAAGAGCTTCCTTGTTTTGGAAACAGAAAAAGTGCATGTGCATGTTTAGATTGCCCCCTGCTGGCAACTGATACGGATGAGATTTTCAAATTGAGGAGCTCAATGAGACAACCGCCTACAGCACTGTCTTCAGCCCTTTGTGGCATTTATCTTGCTGACCCCACCAGCTCCCACACACTCTCCTTCTGCTTCTTTCAAAACTCTGCTTCCTTGCTGTAAAAGTATCACGCTTTGTGTTTTTTAAGTTCTTCCTACTGACTCCTGACCATATCTTTCCTGCCCCTTTCATTTATTTTTTTTCCCTCTCTTGCCTCTGTTTGTTCCCTAAGGCTCAGTTCCTTGCTTTCTTTTTTCCACCTTCTTCTCTTCAGAGAATTTCCAAATTCTATCTGAAACTTGGGAAATTTAAGAGGTTATCACTATCACCTCTTATTTTTTACTTCCTTATATTCCTTTTAGTCCTATTGTAAGCATTCTAATCCAAGTCCTTATTGTCCCATACTTAAACATACTGAAAAGTATATATGCAGCACCATTAAATCTTACAAAAATACTACTCTCCACTTTCCTTCTTCTATGAAAAACTCTTGATCGCCTACATGATCAAGCTTCCACTTTTCAGCCTTTTAGGACCATACTTCATCTATTCAGCTAAATTCTCTTACTATCGTTGTAGTCACACGGCTTTTCTTTCTGCCCTTCACGTCCACCGTTCTGTCTTTACCGTGCCTCTGGCCTGTTCAAACATTCCCTTTTCCTTTAGAAAGCTGCTCATGCTTGACTTAAAGTCTCCTCTTTCATTCCAATCCACTGTGATATGTACTATTATCTCTAAATTTCAAGTGTAGCCACAATATATCCTATTTTACTGTTATTTATAGGAACATACAAAGTCAATGACTGATAAAAAATACTATTACAGGTATTTAGTAAAAAAATAAAAACAGCTTATATGTACTTACTGAGCTCTTCCTGTGAGGAAACTGGTCTAAATCTCATGTCACAACAAATTTAATCCACTTAACCACCCTATGAGCAGGGACCATATCAATCCCAATTAACAGCTGAGGGATAATATGGAGAAATTAAGTACCTTGGCAGAGGTTACATAGATGGCAAATGGCAGAGCTAGGATTCCTATAGTTTGAAAAATATTTGTATACAAAACATACTGAAGAGTCAAATAGATTATTCTCCAACGAATTTTCCACAGTGTTACTTTTAACACGAAATTAATGGGCATTAATCAATGTATTAATTAATGTATTAATGTCATTTTACTCTGTGCTCATTAAGACACTCTACAGGTTGGATCATATGAAATTACTGTTACTGTGGTTTTCTGCAGGTGAAAAATGATTGCCAGCAATTTCATTTGGTGCACCCTGATCGCTTCTTAGCTCCAGGGCATTAAAACTGGAAGGAAATTCGTCTCACAGAAGTGGAAGCCATACATACTGAGAAGCAAGGTGAGGCCGGCGCAGGGATATGCTCTGGCTGTTCTTCCACGGTCGATTCTTCTGGCGGTTCCGTACTCCGTCATCTTGGTCCATCATCTGCTCCAGAAGCGTCTGATCATCAGCGTTCAGAGGGGCCACAGAGATGTCCCGCACGGCGCGGAACTCACCACAGTTATTGAGATGTTCATTCTCCAAGCGGAAGAAGTTCCACACAAATCGCCTTAGCAAAATGGAATAGAGTAGGCAACTTACTTATAAAATGTGAATATACTACATAACCTGTAAACCTCCCTGTAGATCAAATTTCCAAGCACGGAAGCAAAAAACAGGGAACCAAGGGATAGAATATTAAAATAAATTATGAAAAGATGGCATGGCAAGATGGTAGAGGAACAAGAACGGGGGAGGCAACGGGAAGGTATTCATGGAATGCAGTTTCATAGTACTCATTTTTTCAGCTTATTGAGGTTCTGCAATATGACAGGAAAAGGCACTGAATGAGACAGACCAAGCCTCTGTCCTGATGGGGTATGATTTCTAATGGCAGAGACAAAATAAATAATCAGCTAATGGTAAGTAGGATGAAGAAAATAAAGCAGGGCAAGGGGTTACAGCATGCTTCTCTGAAGAGATGGCATCTAGCAGAAGCCTGGGTGATGCAAGGAAGCAAGTCATGTAATCCTGAAGGGAGTGTCCCAGGCAGAAGTAACAGCAAGCGTGAGGCCCCAGGTTGGAAAGGCCTTTGGCGTGCTGAACAACACAAGGTGGTCAGCAGGGCTCAAGTTCAATACGGAGGTTAAAATGGCAGGAGGTGAAGATGGCGAAGTAGAAAAGGGCGTGACCCACAGAGGGCCTTAATGCCACAGTAAAGAGTTTAGATTTTAAGTGTGATGGAAAACAAGGAGGGTTCTGAGCAGAAGAATGATGTGATTTGTGTTAAAAATTCTATTTGCTGCACTGTGAATAGATCAGAGGGAGGCAAGAAGAGCTGAAGGAAGACCAGTTAGAAGCTGTTGCAGTAGTGCCAGAAAGAGATGGCAACTTAGACTAAGGTGGTGATGAGAGGCAGGCAGACTAGAGATTCGTTTATGAAGATGGAGCTGACAGGACTTACTGGGACGTGAATGGTCTCGGTTTTGGCCTCAGGGAATGGTGATACCATTTACTAGAGATCTGGGTTATTCCTCTGAGGCTACAGCCATGAGATATGCAGGGGGGGAATTCAGTAGCTAGGCGGACAGGAGTCTGCAGTTCAAGGGAGAGTCAGGGCTGGAGACAATATAGACAGGAGACCAGATTTCAAGCCCTGGGTTTAGGAATAATACAAATGGAGGAGAGATAAGAGCAAAGGATTAAACCCCAGAGCACTGTAGCATTTACAATATAGGAAGGGGAAGAAGAACCAGTGAAGGGGGTGAGGGAACAGTTACTGAGACACAACCCAAGAGTATATTTTTTGAGACACCAAGTGGAGAAAGTGCTTTGCTAAGAGGTAAAATAAGTAGAGAACTTAATTTAGCAAAGTCGAGAGGCCTTATGACCCGGGAGCACAGATTCTGGGAGACTGTCTGGATTTGAATCATGGCTCCACCACTTGCTAGGTATAATAACCTTGGATGAGTTACTTAACTTATGCTTCAGTGTCGCCAGTAAAATGGGACAGTAACAGTACCTACTTATTAATAAGATTGTTGTGAGGATTTGATAAGTTCACACATGTAAAGGGCGTGGATCTGTCCAGGTTCACAGTAGGCAATACGTAAGTGTTTGATATTATAGATTAAAAAAATGGGCACTAGTTGGAGGAGGAAAGTAGATTCAAAGGAATTTTTTTGCCTTTGTTTTAAATGGGTGATAGACAATCTGACTGTATTAAATAAAAGACATTTAAAAAGAAATAAAATAATCAAGAATGTAAGAGTAACTGAGCTATTTTTTTAACTCAAAAATTTAATTTTTTTGAGTTAAAAACAGCATACGTGAAAGAGAAACAAGTGGGTGGGGGAGGTCCTGGTAGTGATGGAGAACTTGGGGAGAGGAGGAAGGGTTGACAAATGGTTAAGAGAGAGCACTGACAACAACAAATACACCGTTTCTAGATTCAATCTTTATCTTTCAGGTTTATTTTTGATTCTAGGTTCTACCGTATTTTATCAGGCCATCCTAAATGTACCCATCCTGATTCAGAGGAATGTTATATACCTGGTCTGAAAATATCTTTATTTCACCTTCATTTGTGAAACATATTTTCACTGGGTAAAGAGTTACAGATAGGCAGTATTTTCTTTCAGCATACCAATAATATCATTTTAATGACTCCTGACTTTCATCATTTCTGTCGAGAAGTCAGCTGTCAATTGAACCGCCATTTTTTTGAAAATAATCTTTTCTTTTGAGAGGCTTTGTTTTTAAATAAGCATTTAAGTTCAAGTATAACATACATATATAAAAGCATGCACAAGTAAGTATGTAGCTTGTTGACTATTATAAAGTGATCACATTGAGTAATTACCACTCAGAAGAAATATAACATTACCTTACACCAAAGCAGCCTAAATTTATAACCCCCTGTTATCTTCTAGGAAATTCATTCATCTACCTTTCATAGTTAGCCCTGCAATGCACGTGAAACTAATTCTGCATACAGTCTGCTGCAGGAGTTGAGATTCTTTCCCCCCACCCCTCATATGGATGTAGTTGACTCAATATCATTATTGAAAGGCCTTTTTTTCGCCACTGTTATTTAGCTACCATGGTCATAAATTAAGTGGTGTCAATATAGGTGTGGATGTTCTGGACTTCCTATTCTGTTCCAGTGGACACTGTCTATTCTTTCACCAACACCAGACATTGTCTTAGTTACTGTAACTATGTAATAAATCTTGATGTTTGAGAGTATAAGTCCTTTAACTTTGTTTTTTTCAAGATGGTCTTGGCTTTTTTGATCCTTACTATTTCCATATAAATTACAGAACTGGCTTGTCAATTTCCACACACATATATCTTTCATTAAATTTATTCCTAGGTATTTGATATATTCTGATATTACTCAAAATGGTATGGTTTTGTGACTTTTTTTAGAACACTAATTCACATTTATATCAACCCTGTATTCAGGGACACAGCTACAGTCATTTTAATAGTGTATTTGTATATTCTTTTCAATTTTCTACATATGCAATCATGTCATTGGTAAATAATTATAGTTTAATTTTTTCCTTTTTAACCCTTATACTTCCGCGCCTCACTGCACTACCTATACTTACTTGTATGATGCTAAATGCTGACAGCAGCCATACTGATGTCATTTCTGATCTCAAGGGAGAGCTTACAAGGTTTTTACCATTAAGTATGATCTTGTTTGTTTTTTGTAGATAAACCTATTTTCTCCATAAATAGGTACTGGCTTATTTCAAAAGCATTTTTTACATATATTGAGGGTTTTTCCCCTTTATTCTATTAATGTGATGAGTTACACAGACTGATTTTTAGATGTTAAGTGATTTTAAATATTAATCTTACATTCCTAGAACAAACCTATCTCATTTGTGATGTATTATCCTTTTTATAGATTGCTGGATTCATTAGCTAATATTCAGGATTTCTGCATCTCTGTACATGAGACAGATTGGTCTTTCTTGAAATGTCTCTGTAGGTTTAGCTATCGAAGTCATGCTGGCTTAATAAAATGAACTTGGAAGCTCCTTTTATTGTCACTTTTCTGTGGAAGTTTCCTATAAAACTGATAATATTTCCTCCTCATATATTTGGAAGAACTCCCTGGGCCTATAGTTTTCTTTGTGGGAAAGATTTTAGCATGGATCTAATTTTCTTAATAGGTATAAGGCTATCTGATTTTCTGTTTCTTCTTTATTGGCTTTGGTAAACTGTGCTTTTTGAGGAATTTGTCTATTTCATCTATATTTTTCAACTCATTGGCATAAAATTACTCAATTTTACAAGAGTAGTATCTTACTCTTTAAAAAATCTTTAGTATTTTTTTTACATTTGTAATTTGTGCCTACTTTCCTTTTTGGCTTGATCTGTCCTGTTTAGATATTTTATCAATTTTATTAGTCTTTTTAAAGAACTTTGGCTTTGTTAATTTTTCTCTAGTGCATGTTTGTTTTTATTCCATTAGTTTCTGTTCTTTGTATTTCCTTCCTTAATCTTTTGGGTATGATTTTCTATTTTTAAATTTTTCTAATTTCTTGACCTATATATTTGTCCAATATATACATCTAAGGCTATACATTTCCTTCTAAGCATGGTTTTAGGTACAATCCATATTTTCTTTTGTCTCATTTTCAATTTCATTCTGTTCGAAATATTTTTTAATTTCCACTGCAATTTCAACTTTGACCAATGGGTTATTTAGACATGTACTCTTCAATTTCTAAACATTTGGGAATTTTCAGTTATATTTTTGTGATTTTCAATCCTTTAATAAAATATCCTTTATGGCCCAGCATATGGTTAATAAATGTTCTACCTGCATTCAAAAGAATGTGTATTTAATAGTTGTTGTATGCAGTGCTGTGCATATGTCAATTAGGTCATGTTGATTGACCACTCATTTATTACTGAGAAAAGTATGTTAAAATCTTCCTCTAAAATTGTAAATTTATCTATTTCTATTTTTTAGCAATGTCATATTTTTAAGCTACGTTATTAGGTGCATACAAATTTGAACTGGCTAGCACAACTGAATCTCAAGTCAAATGGCAAAACTGGCTTTAGCGCAAAAATTGGCTTTTATGCTCTGCGTATTTTGGGGTACTGGCTTTCACCAAGATTTTGGGCTATCTTGTCAGATTACTGATGTTTTTAGGAAGATTTAAAACATTATCCAACACTTTTTTTTGTTTGTTTCTAGTGAGAAAGTTGGGCAGACTAATCAAGACTGACAAATTACAAAAAAACAGTTCTCAAAAGATTTTAATTTCTGTCCTAAGACTTTTTACTTCCCCAATTCTACTCATGACCTTTCTGATGAATCCCGATTCTAAAAAAGCTTACTTGTCATCATCATTAATTATTTATCTTTGTAAGGCTTAGCCTCTTAGTCTTGTAGGATCTTCCAGATCTGAGGCTGATGACATTGAGAAAAGTTGTAGAATTTAAGCTTTTCAAGTGTAAGCTTTAATAAATGTTAATTTGGACATCTTTTAGGGAAAAAGCATCTTTGATAAACTTTTCAGTAGTTTACTTACCGGAAAACTTCAAGGGGAGCAAAGACAGTAGCAATGATGTCCCCTGAATGAGGCAACAAAGTCGTGGAGGTAACTGAGATTTGGATAGTCCAAGCAAAGCGCAGTATCACATCCTCTATGATGGCACAGTAGTAATAGGCCTGGGGAATAATAAGCAAATTGAGGACACCTACCATTATGTTTCTCACAAATAAGCACATATATCACAGCAACAAGGCTTACATACACCTTACCAATAAGCATAGGTTCAAGAAGAAAAAGTGTTTTATTCTACTTTGTATTTTAAAAAAGATTTCAAAAATTTAGTTTTGCTTTTTTAAAGGGTATAATACTTATTCACTATGAACTTTAACTGAATTTCAATAATCATTTAACAAACCTAGTTCATTCCCATATTGTATAGCAGGCTCTCTTCTAGACCACAGAAATAAAAGCCAGATGAAATCCTCAATCTGATTGAGATGACATTCTAATATGTATGTGATATGCTAATGACTTAATAGCTAATATTAGAAGAGATCAACAGATTTATTAACTGTGTTATTTGCTAACTGCTTTACCCTGTATTTGAAGGATGTTTTGCCTTGCTTTTTGATATCAGTAGATGAAATTAGTTTGGGTTTCACAAACATGGTTGAATTTAAGGAACATTCTATTTTTACATGGGGAAAAGAGCACTCAGCTAACCAATTCTTCCAGGTACTGGTACCCAGTATTTAGGAGTCCAGTGTTAGCTATACAAGCTGTACATAAACTGCCAATAGACCAGAACTATAATTCATGGATTTGCTCATTATTAATTTCTGAATAATTAGCTCTTTAAGTAACAAAAATTCTTCCTGGGACTGGGTGTGGTGCTCAATATGATGCCCTGTTAATCCCTAGGAACTGATTTTAAGGTTCATAGAGCATTGTTTTTAATTTTTACATGAAGCTCCATTGGATTCTACAAATTTTATTCCCTTTTCAAGTGGGATGATTTTTATTCCACTATTTACCTTTTCAAAATTGAAAGGGTTGTGGCTATCTAGAACATTTGCAAACTATGATGTAGAAAAGCATATATTTTATTTTTTAGGGTCATGAAGATATGTAATAATAAAACACTGATTAAAATATCCTATTCACTAATTTTATTACATAGAACCCAGTAAGTTATAATTATTTAGAAGGAGGAATGGATTAAACATTTACATAAAGATACAAACAGTTCATCTAAGCAATATGCATAACAACATATAAATGTATTCTATTTCTCAGTAAGTCAAGAACCATAGGAGCAATAATTGGGCACATATATTTGGTGGGCACCAAAGGACCACTTTTGCCTGAGTTCATGTCTGCTCTCTGATTTGTGTTTACCATTACTGAATTTCTTTTCAAATGAGATTTATGGAGTTATGTCTAACATGGTCATATATTCTAAATTTGCATATTGAAATTACTGCTGCAGCTTGCATAAAAAAGATCACTGTCAACAAATATCCCCTTTTCTGCCTTCATTTGCTTATCTGAAGTTACCCTACATACCATCTTTTGTAGCCACTCTGTCATTTATCTTCAATCCTCACACTTAAAAACAGCCTTCCCTACTCAGAAACTGCATATTACACATTCACAAAAGTACCATTTTGAGGTACTGGTGACATTCTGACAGTATAAAATGTCAGTGACTCAATCTATACACCTCTCCCAATCACATAATTTTGGAACTGGGAAAGGATTAAGAGATAACCTAGTATAACAGGCTGCCTTACAGAAGAGAATACACTGTAGTCTGGTTACATAGAATTATACAGTTAGTTAGCGAGCTCGAATTACAATTCACTTATCAAGATTCCCAGTTCATTGTTTAATTTCTTTCAATATATGAGTAAAGATACTCTTGGTTTTTTGACTTTTTAATTCATTCTCTCATGGTGTTATTCATATATAGATAAATCCTAAAATAATTCCTAAGGAATTATCCATGTACTTTCAGACTGAAGTGGCACTTTAACAAAAGCTGGTTGAAATAAATGAAAGCACCAGCTTTCCTGATGCACCACGCAATCAGGCACTCCCTCTCCTGTGCTTTCACAGCACCGATCAGTCAGTCGAGTATTTATATGCTCACTCCACAAATACCAAGTCAGGAACTATGCAGGGCAGTCAGGGATATGGACACCTAAACAGATAATTGTAATACAATGTGATAACTGCTACAATAAAATTTGCACAGGGTAAAATGGGATTAGGATGAATAACTAAGCATGCTTAGAGAAATAAAGAAAAGCTTCTTAAAGTAACACTAAAACTGATTTTAAAAAGGGAGGAACAAGAGTTTGCAAGTCAAAGGGGAGAGATGGCATTTGAGTGGAAGGAATTGCAAGTTTAAAGATAAATCATAAATTATAGTCAGCTATTTGTTCCTCTATTTTAGTCTTTGTTACACTGTTCTGCAATCTGTTTACTTATCTGTTTATAATATAAGAACCCTTCAAGAACCAGAATTTTATTTTGTTTTCATTTTCTACAATGCCCAGCATGTAGTAAACACCTGACGTGTTTTTTCTGATGGAATGAATCAGTATTTTTTTAGTAAACAGTTATTTTTTCTAATTATATCGGGTTAGGATTGGGTATATATTGTAACAGGATTTAGCTGGTGATGCACCTGAGGTGTTGTTTGTTTTCTTGTTTTTTTTTTTTAAACAAACACAAACACTGTACATACTTTTTGGGGGTATACAATCTCTTCCCGGAGGAAGGTGTTTTCTCCTGCATTCTTATCAAAGAGACCCCAGTCCATCTTCAGATCCCAGATGAGGGTGTAACAGGAACTGATGATACAAAAGACAACCCACAGGTAAAAAAATACCATGGTGTCTGAGTGATCTCGTTCTGAAAAAAGAAAAGGGAAAGGGAAAATTACTAGATTCAGGTAAAACTTTTCATTAAATAAAACTAATTAAAGAACAGATTCCTTATATAGCTCCATAAAGGAAAAGAAGAAGTAAGATTTTAAACAAATCTTGCTAGTAGGATCATTGTTTTACAAAGGTTAAATAACAAAGTCCAAACCAATCATCAAATTCATAACATTTGTACCAATGTACACTTGGGAGTTCTGAAGGCTCTTGCCGAATACACAAAAATCCAAATAATTGCAGTGCAGGTTTTTAGTATTACAAAAGATGTCATTTTAGTTTTTGCCATCAGGTGGCAGCTTAGGGTCAAAGATGAAAAAAAATTTATAAAACTAATAAGGAATGTACTACATTTGCTTCAAAAAATTCTTGGACTGTTTTTACTTTAGAAAAACAATTCCTTCATACACTTAGATTTTGTCAATACTTACTATGATGGCAATCAGATAATTTTCTAGATAAAAACCAGAAATTTATCCTTAAGAACATGTATAAAAGCAAATTACTCTCAAACCACAAAGGAAATCATGATATTTTGCTTCTTACAGAGGTTATTGATACAAAAGCCCAATGTGACTTTATGTTGGGAACACTATAAAGTAGCTTTTGGCTTTTTACTAAGAATATAACGTGTGCTTTATCAGAATAATTAAAATAATTTGCAAATATACTTAGACAATTTAGTCTTTTTTCCCCCACCTTAAGTGTTTCATATGTTCTCTAATGCAATTCTCCTAGAGAGTCATCATGATGTTATTCATGTTCTCTAGGTGCAAGATATAGGCATATAACTAATAATATGGTCCTGAATCAGCAGGGGAAAAAAAGATATGAAACATCTAATTCAAAAAATGTTTAAATTTTGGCTAGTTTCCCAAAGGTACAGAAAGTAAATGACATATTATGCATTAGCCACAATTCTTTATATTAAAATAAACAACTGTTTATTAATCATTTTCCGGTATTAAAGTGTTAAGTATAGTATTATTCAAAGGTACCCTTTGATCATTTATAATCTAGTAAGTGAAACAACCATTTGTTATTGATAAATTTGAACTTAAAATGAATTATAAACAAAGTATTATGAGCTCATGAAGAACTGGAATGCTTCTAACAGTAAGGAATAAGAGGAAGTAGCATTTGAGTTATTTCTAGAAGGATAAATAAATAGAGCTGCAAAAGTCAGGCAGATGAGGCAAAGCCAGTCAAGGTTGAAGGAAGATAATGAAAAGGCATGAGGGTGGGAAAGTGCAAGATGTTTTTGAAAAGCTGCAAATAATCTAAATCTAGCGTGGGTGAAATATAGAGGGTGCAAAGGGAATGGATGTGAGTTGAAATGAGGTAGAAAAGGCATTTCGTGTTTGACTGTGGAACACCTTCTTGGGCCTTAGGATCAGATCTGTATTTTAGAAAAATAACTGGTTGACAGGTTGCTTGCATCAGAATTAGCTGGTTAAAAAAAACAGGTATCTTAGAGTCCCAGTACTGTGTAAGTCACTTTGTGCTAGCTCATGAAAGCCAACTGTTAAATTTCCAAAAACTTTGTGAGATGGTTGTTACACAGTCATTAAAAATTAAATTATATAAACTTACAATCAGTTATTAAAAGATAATAAAAACTCAAAATTCATCACTTCCTAATTATTTGACTAAATTATGCTATTATTATTCTTTTAGGTTATATATGTTTATTGTATCTGTATGATGGAAACACTAAACAATGCTATACATTTTTTCCTAATATTCAATTGTTATCATCTTAATAGCTTAAAACTGGCTATGGCGGAAGTATCTACACCACAGAAATCTGCAGGCACCACAAATCAGTGCTCCCTCTCCACACTCCCACTTAAGAGCTGGTTTGTTAAACATATACCAGAACACCACTGTTCAGCTTCTTCTGGAAAGTCAGTGGTAGGGAACAGAAACAAGTATTTTAAAAACAGTCCACAAGTGATTCTAATGAGCAGCAAAGCCTAAATATAAATACATTTTCAAGTTTTGATTACTTCCACAAAAACTTTTTCACCAAAAGCAAACTGGGTTGGCCCTGGCCAGGTACCTCAGTTGGTTGGAATGTCATCCTGTACACCAAACGGTTGCACATTCAATTGCCAGTCAGGGCACAAACAGGGGTGGGGAGCAACCAATCCACGTTTTTCTCTCACATCAATATATCTCTCTTTCTCTTTTTCTCTCGTAAATCAATAAACATATCCTCAGGTGAGGATAAAAAAAAAAGCAAATTGGATTGACTATTTATGCTACAACATCGTGCCATATGACTCATCAACCTAAAAGGCCTAACAAAGCATTTCTTATTATCTAGGTTTAGTTGGATGTGTTCTGAAATATCTTTATTTCATTCTATAGACAGACACAGAGTTTAGTGTAGTAGTATAGTTCAATTATTAGCATCATAAATATTAAAAATATCCTATAACTCATCTACTATGGTTTGCAAAGAATAAAGCAAATTAGCAACTTAACAAAATTTACTCTCTTCGCATATTTCCAAAACAAGATCAACACAAAGAGATTAAGACAAGTGACTTAGCTGTAAATTATATTTGCAACTCTTTATAAATTTAATGCTTAAGTTTACACAAGAATAAGCCATTATTGTTTGCTGGAAAAGTAATGAGAATACAATAAAAGATACATTCAGCAGGAGGTAACAAAATGAGTTTTTCTCATATAAGTACAGGTAATATCAAGTCTTATTCCTGCAAACTAACTTTTCTTTCCTAATTAATGAAATTATTGAGTTCAAATTATTGTATAAAAAGAGATGGGGGAGGGGAGTAGAAAAAGAATTAAAAATAAAACTAAAAGCAATTGTGCTAATTTTCTTTTATTTCTCTTAGATTTTAAATACAAGTCCCATCCTTAAAGTATAATTCTTAAAATGGTACAATGGGTCAAGTGACTCCCTCCTTTCTAAGGTCATATTACTTATATAAAATTTCCATGGCACATACACAAAGACTTACTGACTTATTAAAAAAACAAGTATTTTAACAGAATATTTTGGAATAAGTAATGTTTTAGCTTATGGACTTCTTCAAACAATGATCAGCATATAACTGATCTACATATGCTACCTTTTGGTCTCTTTTTAATTATTACCCTTATTTGATCTTTTCCATCTCCCACATGAGGAGTGCTTCCCCCTGAAATCATCTGCCTTCATTGGTATTCAGTAGATGTACTGGAAAAATATTATCACTTTAGGCAAGCAATTATATTTAATTCTCTCTTGGCTAACTCTGGTAGCCTACTTTAATGATGTTCAGAATCACAGAAAATCAAATCATTTTTATTCTACCCGTAAGCTTCTATTACACACCTGCCATGTTAGGAACGTAATTCATACTGGACATATTTATGATGATGGCATCTACTGAATCTAAAACAAATAAAAATAAGGTTCTTAGAGTTTTGTACCCAGAGCCATCATAGGAAGGATAAAGTAAAATAATATGCCAGGAAAAGTGCAAAGAAAAAAACAGAAAAATTATACATGGAAATTATTCTGAGCCATATTTCAGGGAGGACATTTTAAAAATGAAAAAAGTGGCAATGTGTGAAGAAAAACTGAACAGTTATTTTTCAACCCAAACCTTTCTACTCTGATAATAATTTACTAGTTGTATTTTGAAATTAAGTAAGAAAACAAATGATGTAGACTGAACACCATTTTCAAAGCCCCCCAAAAAAGTCCACCAAACTACAAAGTAAAAACATCAGAAACATTTCTAAGGCATATACAAATATAACTTAAAACTGTACATATTATTTCACACTGTATATAAAATCACTTTTGTAGAAAAATCACAAGTGGTTATCCCTCTTGAGAGAAATAAGACTATTAAAGGGACTTACTTTTAACTTGATGTATTTCTATATCATTTGAAATTTATTTTTACAGTAGTATATACATGTTTATGTTTTGCTTGTATAATTAAAAAGAAAAGAAAGAAAACGGGCTAGGAAAAATAGTTGCTATTTAAGTGGTGATATTTAATAAATGATTTAAACAAGCCTTAATATTGCTATATTGTTTTATAATAAAAACTAATACACAGGAATTCATATAGTCATTCAATAAATATTTACTGAGTGCCTCCTGTAAGCTGTATATATTATATAGTTAAAATACTTAAGATTAACTCCAAAAAAATTTTGTTCATCTCTTGATTAAACAAATAAAAGCCGAATGTCCACTGGGTAACCAGGTATATTTTAGAGAATAGGGGTGTACTGAAGAACATTAAGGACTAAGTGTAAAAGAAGAGAGAACAATAAAAACAATGTGTAAGTACATTTGTAGAGTTGTGCTTAGAGGAGGAGTCAATAAACCAGGCTTCCAGGGCACAACCAGAGAGGCTTCCTGCAGGAGGTGCTGCTTGAACTGCATCTTGAAAGCTAAATCTTTAGTTAAACAGGTTTCTGAGGCTGAGAGCGCCACATCAGAGTAGAAATCATTCAATCATTCATTCATTCAGTAAATGAACACCTACTATAAAGCAGGTATTTTCTGCCCTAATGAAATTTTCTACGTAGTGGGGATAGATATACAAATAAGATGATTTCTGACAGTGAAACATACTATGAAGAAAACAGAATATGGTGATATGACGGAAACTGGAAAAATTACTTTAGATAATGGTCACGCAGAAAAGGTCTCTTGAGTTGATAGCTGAGTAATAAGAAGGAGCAAGCCGCAAGAACAGCTGGAGGAAGAGTTACATATGTAATATTACATTTCCTAGTAAACATATTTTAAATATTAAAAACAGGTAAAATTAATTTTAGTAGTATATTTTATTTAATATACCTAAAATGCTGTTTTAATATTTATTCAATATAAAATTATTAATAAGATTTTTACCCTTTTTGTATACTAAGTATTCAAAATCCAGTTTGTACTTCACACTTACAGCACACCTCAGTTTAGACTAGGCACATTCG